GGAAAAAATCAATGATTAATTTGGTGCATGTGTTCCGACATAATTGTTTTTATGGGTACACATTATCCCAGCTATTTTCAACTCCTTCAACTGGTTTATTTATTAAAATCAAAGTAAAAATTACAATTTCAGCTTTTCTAAATCATATTTCTTTTTAATCTCGACCGCTGGGCAGACTTGTTTGAAGGAGGAGCTTAATATGTGCCAACGTGACTTCAATCAGAAATAGCCCAACGTCACATGCATACATTTTATGACACGTGAGATGTGCTGTGGTCTTTATTTACAAAAGTTGGAACTGCATCTGTTTGACGTTATTGTGTCTAATGTAAACAAAATGAATACATGTGAAAATTCAATGTCTGATTCTTTCATGGACGAACATGCAGCAAAGAGAATAAAGCTCGAGATTGCAGAAAGGTAAGATGTTATTCAGATTTGTTTTGATTTTTCCGAGGCCATGTAGCAAAACGTGTTATCACGCATGGTGTATTTGTTTTACGAATTTCTAATTACTCAAAGGACTTTGAAGAAAATAAAAAAAAATATTTAATTCCACAAGTTTCAAAACTATTAGATTTATATGTTTTCGTTCAAATATCGATCAAAAAGTGATTTTTCGAGGCTGAAAATTGGCACGTGTCTGTACACCTGGGAAGTGAGAGGTGTTCGAAGGGATATCTTCAAGAAGTGGAAAAAATACTGGACAGATGCATGTACCCCAATATGTCATAATGGAGGGAGCAAATTACATGATTTTACTAGAAATTTAAAATTTGAATGCCAGCATAATTGTGATATACAGGGATTATTACAATATCACGATTAATTAAAGCTGTAAACACCCAATCCTCGATTTTCACCAACCTGTTTTGTTTATTTCTGAGTCCTTGGTTGGGACTAGTCACTCAAAAGGGTTATAATAACCTGTTTTGGATATAAATTTACAGTGCAACATTTTTTTTTTACAAAAATATTGAAAAGTGCATTTGTTTACACATGTAAATCAATAATTGCTACTTCTGGTTAGCAAGTTATCCTTCCAAAAATGATAATAAATTTGTTAGATTGATCCCTCTGAAAACCATCATCCTTCTCATTTATGTTCAGAAATGTGTCCTTAAATCAGCATATAAATTTATAACCACTACATGAGAATGATTACACTGGTGACAATTTTACAGTAACAATCACCATTTTAAGTTTATTTCATGTGAGGTATAGGGTTTGTTTTCATCCTCTTTTAACAAGTATTTTTTTCAGGGAAGCAACGGTAAATATGTTACCCTACAGTAACACTTGGTTAAATTATAATTTCAATCTGGAAATTGCAGTGTTACATTGGTTATGTTATCTTTTAATATTGTAGAGTTGTTAAATTTTTTATTTAGAAAGTGTTATCACTAAAAAGTCATCAGAGAAAAGTATGTTTTTTAATTGTTACTGTACTGTGTACATGTAGAATAGCACAGGACACAAGATATTTCAATATCCTGTCTAAAGTCTCATGAGAGACATAATAATTTCTACCCTCTATCAGTTAAAAACTACATGTAGTTTAAAGAAGGAAAACTTGACAAGCTGCATTCATATCTAATATTCCTAGAACTGATACCACACCAAGTCAGTCTGTTCGAGCTCTACAAGCATTATGCAATGGAAGATTGAAAAGATAGAACCTAGCATTTGATGTTTTTTTTTTTGTCATTTTAAATTTCTTAGCTTAGGGTCTTTCTTAACCAAATAAACTATTGAAAATACAAATTTAATGTATTTGGTTGTTCAGCTATGGTGCTTTGGTACAAATATGTACAATACAAAGAAAATGTAGCTGGACTAAAATTATAATTGAATAAGGTAGGCATATACAATGTATCAATTGAAAATATAAATTTCTGAAATACGAACGAAACTTGACTTCAAATACAACACTAACTATAGCTTAAAAGCTGGAAAGTAATTTTTCAGCCTTGATAAAACAATATGCATTGGTTGGGTCCGTTTTTTTATGTGAGCAAAACTTATGTTATTTTTTTTTATATATATATATATATATATTGATAAACAGTTAAATGGTTCATAGATAGAGGTTTAAGCTGTGTTATGAGCAATATTTGCAAAATATTCTATCTTATGTACATTGTACCTAAGTAAACTGATGTCACGGTACCACTAGCCTTTTTAGTGTTTCCTTTATCATTTTCTTCAACATTTTGCACCAAAAATATCCCTATATGTAGCTTATTTATCATCTATGTGGTCCCCTTGCAACATGAACTTCTTTAACAACACTTTGTCAATGACCTGTTACACAACGTAACACAAGAAAGATTTTGGGCAGGTCTCCGTAAAGCACATGTAATTTTTTTTTCAGGCCTTTGAATTTTGCAATATCACCAGATGAATTGGAGATGCAGGCTGTAAAAAAAGCTAAACTGCCACGGGTAAGTTTTTTTACTATCTTGTCTAATAAACCTGAGTTATAAGTTTGAGAATGCCAAACAAGTAGACTCGTGCATTAACTTTTATATAACGCTGACGCTAAATTTATTCTGTAAAGGAAGGAAAACACTGTATTAGTTCATGACACAAAATTCCTACATGCACTTAACAACACTGAACACCTAAAGCAATGAAACAGCACTTTTATTTTATTTTTTCATCAGAAAATCAGAAAGAGACCTGAAACACAGCAAAAGCTCTTAAATCACTGCAAAATCAAGTTTTTTTTCTTTTTAAAAAAGTTTGTTACTTGTCCCTCCAAAATATATCAAATGCAAATAATACTGCCTAAAAGGTGCAATAATGTTTAAATAACCAAAACAACCAAAGCACCGTAGTTTCTTGCCGTAAACTTGCAATAATGTACACTAGTAAGGATGTTCGATACTCTGTTTCAAAATAGCAAGTTTTTTAAAAGAATGCTATAAATTGATAGTATGTATAACGGAACAAAAAAAAGTAGAAAAAAATGCAATTGAAAATTTGACGGGGAATGATTCTAGATTTTTTATACAATTAACAATGGCACTTTATTTCTTTCAAAAACTATGAAAAGGTAAACGATATTATAAGATTTAAAAAAATGGCTTATAAAACTATATATGTATTAAAATTATGAAAAGAAAAGTAAGGGGTTTATAGCGGGCAAAATTTTTTAATGGCACCACATGGATAAAACCAGAGGATTCCAAATATCTGACAAAAAAATTAAAATTAAGACTAGCACACATTCGTAGGATTTTGTTTGTGTTGTTACGTTAATAATATTAAACATATTTTATTTCCAATTCAGAGCTCTTGTGGGGCATACAGATACGTACATGCTATAAGAATATTAATACGTAAATGTCCAACAAATACCCAACCCATGCCATCTTGGCTGCTGAGGTTGGGCTGCCAAATCAAGTATTTTTAATGATAAACTACTATAGTAAGTGTTTTTTATGGTTCATTTGCATTGTTATTATAGGATCCAATGTCGCACAGAATCATAGAAAAGAGGCGACGAGATCGCATGAATAACTGCTTAGCAGAACTCAGCCGACTTATCCCTCCAAGCTACTTGAAACAGGTAAAATACAACAAAATTGAAAGAGTTCAACTTTCTGTTTATTGAATACTTAAGGAAGGGAAAAAAGGGGGCGGGGGGGGGGGGTTCATTAGTGAGCAATAGCTCATAGTTCTACTTTTTGGTAAAGATTGCATGGAATGCAATCAAAACCCTATGGTATTGACTTGATGTCTAACTCTTCCAAGGTTTATCACTACCTTTCATTGTTCCAACAAAATAGTGCAGTGAAGTGATCATTCTTTAGATCCTATCCAGTCAATGTCAAGCAATTTATTAATGATATGCTATGCTATAGATATTCAAGTGACTATATGATGTGTATTTGAATTACAAAAAAAATGTACCATACTTGTCAAGGAGAATTTTCTTTATTAAGAATTACATAAGTAATGCATGGTGTATACATCTGTGATAAAAAAAAGGTTCAACTACAACAATGTACAAATGTACAATAATGAAGATTACTCAAATTTTGTAATTTGCCTAGCTAAATACAATTCAATGTTTTATTTCAAATTCACAGTAGTTAAAAACAATACCATAATTACCTCTCTATTTCAGGGTCAAGGTCGTATTGAGAAGACAGAGATAATAGAAATGGCATCCAAGCTGATACGAAACCTGTTGAACTTGCATAATTTCAGAGGTATGAAACATTTGGACAGTTAAGGTATTGAAAAGTTTCAGTGCAAAAAAGGAACTTTAATATTTTCATAAAAAAAGTGAACTTCTACAGGTCAAGTAAGACTTAATACTCCCTCTCATTAGTCATACTTCCATGAAATAGGATTTTAACAGTCTGGTTTCTACATTTCTATTAAATGATTTTATATGAATAAGTACTGTAAATTCAGAAATGATTGCATGCATTTATTATTGCGATTTTTTAAGGATGGACAAAAATGCCAGATTGATGATTGCGATTTCAAGAAAATCTGCATACAGATATATGTATCAGTCAGATATCAGTATGCCATTGGCATTATTTGCAATAATAAAAACTTCACAATCATTTATGAATTTACTTAAATTGACATTGATATTAAGTACTTTTATAGCGAAGTTATACCACTGGTTCCAAGAAATTTGTTATAACCAAATTTTACTGTCCGTCGTCCGTCTGTCCCGCTTCAAGTTAAAGTTTTTGGTCAAGGTAGTTTTTGATGAAGTTGAAGTCCAATCAACTTGAAACTTAGTACACATGTTCCCTATGATATGATCTTTCGAATTTTGATACCAAATTAGAGTTTTGACCCCAATTTCACAGTCCACTGAACATAGAAAATGATAGTGCGAGTGGGGCATCCATGTACTATGGGCACATTTTTGTTTTGCAATCATCCTAGAAGCAACTTAAATTAAATGATTATTATCCTTTAAAAATCATCAGTCCTCATATTCAGTTATTGAATTGATATAATTATAGAAATGATGGAGAAAGAGTTACCACCAGATGGTGGGGGAATTAATCCATGCTGTCAGGAAAAATTTTACATGGGATATAAGGAATGTCAAGAGGAGATACTACGACAATTAATCGACACAGAAGGGCTGGATCCTAAAGATGCTTTCTATCAGAGAATGACAAACTTTTTAGAACAGAGCAGTAAGAAATTTCTGCGGTTATCAACAGGTAGGAATCATTCTTATTTGTGAAGTGACATGAAATATGTTAATATTTAACTCATCTTGCGCAAAGGGTCAGTGTGAGCTTTGCCATCTCTAGATGTCTACCGTCAGTCTATTAACTTAGAACTTTTGCTGAAACTGCTGGACCAATTTGAATATACTCAGCTGCATTAATCTTTTGAGTGCTTTGTTTCAAAATTGTGTCATGTTCTTGCCAATCAATCAACATGCCTGCTCTTTCTGATAGTAATCCTAAATTTGTTTTGATTCCTTGCAAATATATAACTATCTTTGTATTAGTACAATGTTGTGTGATGAGGAGTCACTTATTACAGATTTCTTTTGCTCAGTTGACCTTGTTATGATCCCTGTAATTTAAAAAATATATGCTGTAAGCACTTTTTGATTTGAGATTATGAGATTTTTTATGATTTTATATGATAAACATAAAGAAATTCCTAATAACATATGACTTTTGTTTCAGTTGACTTACTTACATGACTTATGACCAAATCTTTAATTTGACTTCAGACAAATTCATGAAAATAATAGTTTCCTTCTTTGTTTTTAGTCCTGCTATATGACATAGTTCAGATATTTGGAGATATATGGTACTAATGAATTAAGCAAGACAAAAAGAAATAAAAAATTGTTCAGAAAAACTCTTTTTCTAAAGTCTAGTGGTCAGTTTAACAAGTTGAATTTGGTTTATTTGTAAACAAATTTATGCACTTGAACCTCCATCAAGGTGACAAAAGGGAAGTAACTCTTGCTCAAATTGTGTCAATCCAAACCCTATCTATTAAATATGATTTCAAGATGTTTCTTATAGTTTTGGTCCACATTGATTGATCACTAAAGGCGTTGGCATAAAAAAACTCTGATGTTCTTTGTTTTATAAGGGGTTCCTAAATGTTGATAAAACAAGTGTTTTGGGCAAAAGAAAGGGTTCCTGAAATTTTAAGTGAATATATCCTCAGTACCCATATCAATACACCATTCCTGAAATTTACAACAGTTTGTTTAAAATATCTTGTCCATTTCGTACTGTACCAATTAAAACTTTTCTTTCCAGTTTTCTTGGGTTAAAGGATGTGCTTGTCTTAGTTATATCTAATATCTTTATTTTCAGCAGATGGAATTTGACATTCATGACATTTTTATTAACAAAATATATACATCTTGTTTTACATTTTGCAATTCTCTACTAATGCAGTTGTTTTCAGGATGCATTTTGTTCTTTCAAGGTAATGCATCTATCTTTTAAAATCATAGATCTGTGCTCTGTAATTAGCCTCAACAGGCAATACAGTAACACTGCTTCACAGATGCACATGATACACAATGATGATTTTAATGTTTCTCTTGTTATATTTGTGTGACGTGTGGAATAACTGTATTAACAGGCTATTGTCTATAATATTTCGATTTCATTGAAAGTAACTTTGACATATCTTTGACTTTTACTAGAACTAGTAGATTTCTATATCTATGTAGTTATGATGTATGACTGTGTATTAGTTTGAGTTCAGATTAGCGTATGCACTGGACTTCATTGAATTACTTATTTCCACTATGTGATACCGTAGGGACAATAGTCTGTAATACAGTGTACATATTACTGAGTGTAGAAACTAGTACTCTATATTCCATATTAGTTTTGACTTCTTCTTCATAGTCTTAGGCATAGCTGAAAGTCATTAAGAAAATTTCATGACCAGTTGTTCTTTAGTTTATCTGAATATCTTTACAGATACTCATAAATAGGGTGAGCCATTTAAAAACTGGTGATGCAATTTTCAAAATAATCTTCTGTTATGTTTAAGATTGGTTGAACAGTCAATAAGTACTGGTCCAGTACTAGTTTTTGCACTACAGATCTGCATGATGAATGTTTTATCTTGTAATTTAAATGGTTTTGTCTTGGATGTTACCTGAATTGTTTTGAAAAGATGATATTATGGTCGTTGTCTGAGCAATCAGTCAGTTTATTTATGTCTGAAGAAGATGGAACAACATTGGCACAACCTTAACATCAATAAGGTTTTGAAATGTTAAAATTGTGTATTGTCTAATCAATCGGTGTTCTTTGTTTAATTGTTGATTTTTCTAGGAGATTTTGGTGAGTTTTGAATGTTGTGCATCCAATTTTGCTTCCCAACAAATATGATTATGTACATGTTTTTATATTTATATAAAAAATATGTAGTATATTTTATTACTTAGTAAGCATATTTGAAATAACTTTTTAATTGGTTTTATTTTTGGTATAAAATTAATGAACTAGTTTCTAATTATTTGATAATTTTTGATACTTATTTTAAAAGTGTTGCTAATTATAAATAACAAGAGATGTTGTGTATATGAACCCAACAACACAAATTATGAATGACATTTTGAGGTCAAATACAGTCTTCAACTAAATATATCTACACAAACTGTCAGCTCTTAATAGCCTTGACTCTTAGGAAAGCAATGTAAGAAAGGTTTTTTCTCTAAACTTGCATTTACCTGTAGTACAAACATTTCATTTAGTTGTTTTCTATTGTAGTAAAATCTGCATCTGATGTCCAAGCTGTAAAGCCTGATGATTCCTTGACGTCAGAAGCAACAATTTCAAATTTTAATTCACAGAGCAATGGCCAAGTGCTGCAAGGCATGGGAATTTCAGAAAACAACATGGCCCTGATAAAACAGGATGAACACCTCTGTACCTTACTGAAGCCAACTGAACAAACATCCAGCCAAACATCAGGATACTGTAGTTCCAGTAATCAGTCATTGTCAGATGGAAGCTTATCATGCATTACATTGCAGTCTGTTCAGAGAGATACAGCAGAGAAAGATGAATGTAATGGGTCAAGAGGAAGTTCATGCTCCAGTGACCAGAATTCATCTGAAGGCAGTAATGGACACAAGATTGATTACCACAAGTCACATGCTTACAAGTTTAAGCACAATATTACCAAAAGGTTTTCTCAAGAAAGACGTCCTTATCATCACAAAAGTGATAGATCATCTGATTCAATGGAGGATGAAAATGAACAAGGAAAGCAAAAAACAGTGGGCTATAGAACTTCCAGTCCTGGCACTGAATATAGTCGATATTTAGGATCTGAAAATAGTTCTACAAACAGTTATTGTGAGAAAAATAAAGTTCCACGATATCAGAATGATTTTGGGAGTGATGGACGTTTTGATTCAAAACAGGTGCCTCTTCCAGCCTTTGTACTTCATCCTCTTGGAACACATTATGTTCCAGTGACAATACATCCTACACATTTCAAAAATGTGTTTAAAGATGAAACAAATACTAAAGCATCAACAGCATATCATCCCATTAGTATCCCAGTGAATTTCTGTGGTCCAAGTGTTTCCATACATACACAGGTAGAACAGCAGCTCCTACGTGCCTCAGAAGGACAGAAGGAAGAAAGATACATTGAAAATTCAAAGAAAATGTTTTAAAATAGAAAATCTAAAGATATTTATGCATATAAATGTCAGGACAATAGTGGTTATGTTTAAAGATACATACTTTTAATGGTTTTTTTACAATATAAATTTGTTGTTAAGAAAATACATTTGTTTGTGAAACAGAATTTCAACTTTATGATGTAGAACTGTTGATACATTGTACTTATATCTGAAGTGATGAAATAGTTTTTACATTAATCATGCTCAACTTAAAGTTTTTATCCTCAATTTTTTGTTTATATTGATAAAAAAGAAAAAGAAAACAATTGAATGGTTGTTATTTGTATTAACTATGTTATCATTTTTGCATATTTTATTATTTTCAGAAAGTTACTTTGAAGATTTAAATGTATGTGCAATAGATTTAATATAATTTAAAAAAAAAAAAAAATTTTAATGCATTTTGTTGTTAAAGATCAACAAATGTTAGTGCTCAACAATATACAAATTTCTTACAGGTAGATTTTACACCACCAACCCCATTGAATATTATTTATCCACTCAAGATTTTAAGGTTTTGAAATTGAATAGCAGAAAGTCAATAAGTTTTTATATTGTAATACACAGGTAAAGTTATAGAATCTGTTTCTCTTATCATGTTTATGGTCAAAAGAAAAATGACAAGTGCTAATCAAATATGGCGGGAAATAACATGCGACAAATTAAATCAATGTACAAAATGATGTAAGATTTATCAAACTGGTCAGATCTGGTTTAGGTGCACAGAGAATGAGAGAAAAGTATGTATGCAACATTTCTAAAACCCATAAAATAAGGTTTCCAGGAAAATATGATTCTCCCTCAACCCATGAATATAAATGAAATCATATCTACTTCATAGTGATTAAATTATAAGAATGCAGTGTTAAAACTACCATTAAAATGGGAAAGAAGTAGCAATAAATGTTTTCAAACATACAGTAAATTTTATTTGGAGGATTTGTATTGTTTTTTTGTTTTTATTGTCTCGTGGGTTTGTATACAGTTTAAAAATAAAAAAAAAATATCTTCTTGTAACTGAATTTAATAATTGTTCGTTCTTTTTTATTAATTTGAAAATTTAATATTAGAGCAGAATTAGCTAAGATTTTGACAGTATAATTTGAAAAAAAATAATGTATGTTTTTTTTTTAAACATTTATAAAAATGGTATATTGAATAATAATATAGCTAAAAAGTTGGTTTTATATATATCACTTCAATAACAAATTTGAAAATTTGTAAAAAACAGTTTTCTTCAATTGTAACACTACATGAATCATTGATAATATTTATTTTATATGATACCTGTAGTTAAACCTTTATCTTCAAGCCTCAGATTAAAATTCAATCATAAAAGTAAAGCCAGTTAGACATTTCAGCATTTGCACTCTTTATTTTATGTGTATAGAGAGATTTGGCGTCGGTGTACATACAGATTTATTATGAGAAGATAAGAAATTATGAAATGATGTTTGTTTTATGACTTTGTGCAGTTTTGGTGCATAAAATAGATTATTTTTCTATTAACTTATCTTGTTTGATGTAGATATTGTGGCACTCATCTGTTGTTGAACATATTTTGTTTACAAGCAATAATTAATTTCAAAATATTTTGATTTTTTTGTTGATTATTGTTCTTTATTATACTCCTGCCTTGAATTGGGCTGCATATTGTGATGCACATGTCAGTCTGTCTGTTCTACATAAGTTTGTTTTCAGGATAATTAAAATACCCCTTGACTAAATTGCTTAAAATTTTAAATAATGTCATGGACGATAAAATACAAATCAAGATCAATTGTGATGGTTTTGACATTTATCCTTCAAGAGTTATGCCCCTTAGTCAATTTAAAGGGGTTTCTTCCTCTTCCAGTTGATGATGATAATATTGCTTGTCCAAATCTTTTAAAACTTTGTCATGGACCATAAAATACAGGTCAAGTTTGATTTTGGAGACAAAATCTTTCTAGATTTTAAACCAAAGTTATGAAACATAACATACTGGTCATTTTCAATTTTGAAGATAGTTTTGGCATTTACCATTAAAAGAGTTATTTTGCAAGTAGGGGCATCTAAGATTTCTAAATCACTTAATTCTAGTTTTATATGAAATGTTGGTTACTAGCCATCACAGTACCTTGTCGTAGTATCATGTATAGAGGCAATGCAGATTTCATCAATTATGCAAATTGAGAAGTTGCATATTATTAAAAGTTATTTAATGCAATGAGATTATAAATTACTTTTAAGTTGTCATTTCAGAATCGAATGTATTCTAGGTAATACTTTCAAAAACATACACCATAGTGTTGGCTAACAAAATCTTAAACTATTCAACCATATGATTATATTTCCATTTTGGGGGATTTTAGATTTTAGTCTGTTTAGATTCAGAAATGGTGAATTATAATGTTAAAGTTTCTATTTTATTGTGTATAACATGTTATAAAACTTTTTATGTAAAGTTAGAGATTATAATAGGATAATGAAAAGTTGCTGTGTCTAATCTATAAGTCACTGAATTCAGCTATGTACATGTGTTTATTTGGGCTGTTCCAGATTTAAAAGCATGGGCAAATATGAGGCACTCAAATTACATATTGTGAGTGGTTGCATTTTCTTTTAGAAATTTGTAAGAATTTAAGTAAAATTTAATTTTATATTATGGGTGGTTGGGGTAATGACTTTTGAATTACCTCGAAAATGTTTAAACAGATTCTAGATACATTTTTTATTTAGATTGTTTTTAAGTAGGACCTCATAATATTCTAGTCATGACTGATTTTCAATGTTGCTCTTTATACTCTTCTAGAGTTTTGTCCCTTAAATTGTCTCTTCAGCTTTACTGTAGGTAAAGTTTAATTTTCAGTATTACTGAAATTACTGTTCCAAACTTTTCTGATAATGGCTAAATTAGATTTCTGAATGATAGGTTTTTATGAGCTAGGGACATATATATATATCTATGAAATCTGTTCAAGTTAGCTCAATTTTAAAAATATGAAAAGCAAAAAAGTGTTGGTGGATAGTTGTCTCATTGGCAATCATACCACATCTCCTTATTTTTATATTGAGAAATCTTCATTAATAAACTCATTTGAGATGAAATCTTGTTAAGGAACTAATATGAGATGAAATCTACATTAAGAAACAAGATATGTATAAAGTTGATTTCACTAACATAGTACTAAGTTGAGTGAAGAAAACATTTAAAATAACATTCTGTGACTTACTAGCTTAACATGTATTATTGTTATAATTTTTGTTGTTTGAACTTTGAAGGGTGATTATTGTTATTGTTTTGTATAGTTTGTTACATTTGTTGAATTGTTTGTTTTGGAAGATCATTATTTGTTCAATACTTCATTGTAATAAAATATAGTGAATACACTGCATATTTAATTTACTTAATGCCTCATATTGCTGCTTGTCAATTGTAATGGCTTGAAAATAAATTAAGAAGCATTAGTTGATATGATTAAACTAGCCAGACAAAAGAATTTCTGCCCTATTCCTGATATGGAAAGGTGGATATCAATCAGTCATTTACAGGAAGAGAAGCTATTGATGTATTTTTGTCTCACCTCGGATGGAGATAAAAAGCAAGACTTAGTTATGCTGTTCCAGCATCAATAATTTGTCAAAGTGATTAGGTCTGTTTAAAGAGATCCACTAATGATAAGGCAATGATATTTGGTATGCAATTGTATTAACAATGGCACATCTCATTCACATGGGGGGCCTCGGTGGCCGAGTGGTCTAAGTAGTTACTACTGTAATCACTGGCCAGTCAACACTGAGGTTGTGAGTTCGAACCCCGCTCGTGCCGGTGCACTTGACTCCAATCTTAATTGACAAGGATTGTCAGTTTTCCTATCGAAGGTCTGTGGTTTTCTCCGGGCACTCCGGCTTCCTCCACCAATAAAAACTGGCCGCCACGAAATAGCCCAAAAGTGGTGCTTAAAAGTGGCATTAAAACACCAAAAATCAAAATCAAATCAAATCAAATCTCATTCACATGGGAATTATTTGACCCTGCCCCCCACAGTCATGCATGGTCTATTAACTTTGATACTTTTACATAGATTACATGTTAAAATTTGTGATTAGATCAGTTTAAGGGGAACCACTTATGATAAGTCAGTGATATTTGGTATGCAGTTGTAAAAGCATTGGCACATCTCATTTCAATGGAGATTATTTGGCTAAGCTTCCTCAGTCATGGTCTATTTACTTTGGAAACTTTTGCATAGTTTATATGTTGAAGTTTGTGATCAGGTCTGTTAAAGGGGAACCACTAATGTTTAGTTAATGATATTTGGTATGTAGTTAAATAAACAATAATACATCTCATTTCCATGGAGATTATTTGGCCCAGCCCCCTCAGTCATGGTCTATTTACTTTGAAACTGTTGCATAGTTTACATGTTGAAGTTTGTGATCAGGTCAGTTAATGGGGAACCACTTATGTTTAGTTAATGTTATTTGGTATGTAGTTGAATAAACAATAATTCATCTCATTTCCATGGAGATTATTTGGCCCAGCCCTCTCAGTCATGGTCTATTGACTTTGACACTTTTACATAGATTACATGTTAGAATTTGTGATTAGATCAGTTTAAGGGGAACAACTTATGAAAAGTCAGTGATATTTGATATGCAGTTGTTAAAGCATTGGCACATCTCATTTCAATGGAGATTATTTGGCTAAGCTTCCTCAGTCATGGTCTATTTACTTTGAAACTTTTGCATAGTTTACATGTTGAAGTTTGTGATCAGGTCAGTTAAAAGGGAACCACTTATGTTTAGTTAATGATATTTGGTATGTAGTTAAATAAACAATAATACATCTCATTTCCATAGAGATTATTTAACCCAGCCCCCTCAGTCATGGTCTATTTACTTTGACACTTTTGCATAGTTTACATGTTGAAGTTTGTGATCAGGTCAGTTAATGGGGAACCACTTATGTTTAGTTAATGTTATTTGGTATGTAGTTGAACAAACAACAATTCATCTCATTTCCATGGAGATTATTTGGCCCAGCCCCCTCAGTCATGGTCTATTTACTTTGAAACTTTTGCATAGTTTACATGTTAAAGTTTGTGATAGGTCTGTATAAGGGAAACTGCTTAAGATTAGTTAATGTTATTTGGTATGCAGATGTAGCAGCATTGGCATATCTTTTTTTTCCACAGAAATTATTTGGCCCTTTTCCTGTAGTCCTGGTTCATTGACTTTAAATATTTTACATAATATACATGTGAAAAAAATATTGCTATTTTAATTTCAACATTTGCATTTTACTATAAAAAACACAGGTGAGACATATCTCTGTGTCAACAGTTTATTCATAAGAATTATCAATATGAACCTTGTGCCTTGAATTCGACAAATATGTTAAGTAGATGAGTTAATGTGCTGTTACTTAGAAAGGATAGTTAATTTCATATAGACACATGTCCCTTGGATGCACTGACTGCAACAAAATGTTTTTGTAATTTATCCCCCTAGAATGTAAGACATAGGGATGCTAATCCAGGGGAGGTGGCAGCAGCTGCAACAGTGTAAATATTTGTAGAAGGTTTTATATTTCAGAAGGTTTAACAAATGGATAATTCATATTTTGTATACAAATGTCTTATGGCTTGAAGTATCTGTCCATAAGTGCATTGTTCTCCTGACCTTCACCTCAAATGAGCAAAGGGACCTCGGTGGTTGGGTGGTCTAAGTAGTTCAACTACTGTATCACTAGCCTGTCAACACTGAGGTTGTGAGTTGAACCCAGAACTTGGTATGTGCGCTCAACTCCAATCTAAATTGACAAGGATTGTCAGTTTTCCTGAAGGTCTGTGGTTCTCTCAGGGCACTATGGCTTTCTCTACCAATAAAAACTGACCGCCACAAAATAGCTACCGGTAATTGGTTTCATCATGGTTGATGAATGTTCAGTTTTTTTTATAAGGTCTTTTTCTCAGGTACTATTAACAGTAGGTCAACAATATTTAGTGTATAGAATAATCGGGAAAGTTACATGTTTGTCAACTTTAATATGCACATAGAACGACTTTAAGGTGAACATATCAGTCTTGCCAGTTCATTTGCTATAAAAATGAAGGTGTGATATAAGGATAATTACTATACTGCCTTCAACAATGAGCTAACCAATACAGTATAGTAAGCCAATGCAGCTTATTTCGGTTTAGCCCTGTTGGTAATTCCAGTACAGTAGCTATTTGCAAAAATATCAGTTGTCAGCATATAGGCATAACCATCCCTCGCTGGTCTTTACGGTATAAATCAGCTGGTCAAAAAAGTATGGCAGAAGAGCATTAAAAGGTGAAATGTAGAAATGAAAAGATGCAGATACTAATATTTTCAATCAAACTATATTGTAATGTGCTACTGCAATGGTCCACTATGAATTCAATAGAATAATATGCCGTAATTTATTTCCAAATTTATAAAATTTATGACGGATAAGATTTTGGAAAAAAAAAAGATTGTTCATGCATTTTTTTTTATATTAGACTGCTTGTAAAGCGAATAGAATAATTGTGTACTTCAGTTGTCATCTTTTATTCAGCCAGTTCCACTTGTTTTACTTTTAGCCATTTTGAACCAAGTTGTGTGATAAGGCTTACTGGGCATAGCCAGAACTCGAACCAATGAAGCTGATCCAGTATAAATGGAATTTGTTAAGCACGAAAAGTTCTAGCCACACTGAAATTTTCTGAAAAATCTGACCTGTTTATTTTTAATTGCCTCTGACTGCTGATTTTAACTATTCCAAAAATTAAAGGAACTGGGTTTAATGTGTTTCCTGCAAAATGGATCTGTCTTTCTTCTCTTCAAATATCAGACATAAGTATTGGAGTTATCGTCCTAATGTAGATTTTTGCATATTTGTCAGTTTTGTGGTATTGTTATGAAAATCAAGGGATATTTTGACCAACATATGAAGAGAATACAAATCATGTTGGAATCTTTCTTACATTAGAACTTTAATGAGTGTTGTTTATATAGTCCACATAAAAGAAAACTTTTCATTACAACTGAAACCATACAGGTGCTCTTCAATTTTTTATCAAAAAATGTCAGGTGTAAAGACTAAAATTCTAAGTTGAATTGGTATACATATATTGCTTGTTGTTTGCTAACTTTCCAGTGGCAATTATTTCATGAATGTTCAGGACAAGAACAAAGGATATGGTTCACTTATGCCGAAATATGGCCTTGAATTTTAACTTGATCATAAATAATGAAAAAGGTCACAATTTGGTGCTTAAAAGAATGTATTTTAAAGGCCTAATTGATTAGTAAAACAAATCTCTTTATTAAAGTACATTAGGGGATCAAAGTCAGCACGTTTTTGCGAGATTTTGTGCATTTTTCTGACCTAAAAGCTTCAGGGAAAACATGGCGGCAATTTCCGATCCAAAATATTCTGCAACTAAAATGTGCTAAGGTTTATATTGAATCCCTAAACACAACAAATTTCTGAAATGAGGGTTGCAGCCAAAGCTTACTTTTCCAAAACCTGTTATGAATGAGGGTCTAGATGGGGGTCCTTCTTTCTGTATTCTTTAATTTTGAGATCATTTTTCTGTGTTCTTTATATTTTTTGCCCATTATTATCTATTTTTTTTATTTTTTTGCCCTATTTTTCTCTATTCTTATTTATTTTGCCCATTAATCTCTATTCTGTAAACCCCATCCAGACCCTCATGAATTATGGAAAATTGCACCAAAGCTGACATTTCAATACCAATATTGCATAATTAAGGGGTCATAATTTTGTAATTATAATGTGATGTGCCAAAATGAAAGTTGTTTGTATTAATAGTAATATTACAACTGTTTTTATATAAAATTTGAAGTATTTTTGTTAGATTAAAAAAAATTAAAATCTTAGAGCTAATTTTAACCCTTTGTGAACCTTCTCCTTTATATAAATATTAGGTAAATTTATATGAGCAAACTCATCAAACGCAAAATTAACTAGTCTCGACATCATTGAGATGGGAGCAATCTATGTGGGCCCTGCATCTTTACCATAGAACATGGGGTTGTCAACTGAAACCAAAAAAAGTTTTTGACCTTGAACTTTGACCTAGAAAGTTGTACAAACAATATGACACACCCTCCAGTGTTGGTTATATACATGTCAAGTATAAAGTATGAAATTATAACATAATTTGTTACGGACGGATGGACTGATGGACAGACAGATTGATCACTATAGGGTGACCCGCCACTAGGCGGGGCCCTAATTATTCACACGGCTGTAGGTCAAACTAAACTAATAATTTGCAAGAAAGTTGGATAACACTTGTATGATTACTGGTAACATTGATAGGTACACAGAATTTTCACAGATGAGACCTGTAGTCAAAAGTGGTCAACTCCTGAATTTTTTCTCTGTAACAAGCAAATGATTGATGATAAATTGATGTTTAATGTCCAGTGGCAAATATTTCAAGCATATTCAAGATGATGTGTTAAAAGAGATATGAAAACAGCCTGATTGTAACTAGACTAACATGGAGTTAGATTTTTAACATTAAGGCTTATAAAGAACCAGTCCACAGGAAGACATATCACCATATTCAGATATACATGTATTATTCTACTACTCAGCAGGAGTCTATGTTCTTACTACAAAATGTGAGTTCTTGGCTCAGAAGAAGAAAATGTCGATTTTAAAGTTCTTCAGTTCGACCCTGCCACGGATTGAGAAAATGAGTCGTAGGCTCGAGACAAGTATATATGCAACCACGAGTCCAAAGAGTTTGTACCAAGCAAGGAGTTTATAGTACATGTTGAATATTTTTATGCCCCCGCCTTAGTGGAGGGGGCATTAAGTTTTACCCTTGTCGTTCTGTACGTACGTCCGTCCGTACTTCCGTATGTCCCAAAGTTGGTTTCCGTTCTCTAACTTTAGTTTGCCTCAACCAAATGTTATGAAACTTATACACAATGCTTATTACCACTAAATACAGATCAAGTTTGAATTTTGGTGGCGTCACTTTTACTGTTCTAGAGTTCTGCCCCTTTACAAATGGAAAAATTGCTAAATTTTTTCGTTTCCGGTCTCTGACTGAAGTTTGCTTCAACTAAATGTTATAAATCTTATACACAATGCTTATAACCACATTATACAGATCAAGTTTGAATTTTGGTGCTGTCACTTTTACTGTTCTAGAGTTATGCCCTTTACAAATGGAAAAATTGCTGAATTTTTCATTTTTTTTTCTAAATATCAAGTATTTTTAAAATTGGAGTTATCTTTCTTTGTCCATGATTATAGTTTAATCAACTACAATCAATGCTTTATACAATGCAATGTTTAATTTTCCCTTCCACTGATAAATTATCGCAGTTTTTACCCTTCATTTCTAAAAATGTTTTAAAGTCTTCTTTGAAAATTGGAGTTATCTTTCTTTGTGCATAATGGTAGTTGAATCAACTACAACCAATGCTTTATACAATGCAATATTCAATTTTACTTCCTACTGATAAATTAAAGCAATCTTTACCATTCAGTGCTTACAAGCACTTTGATTACTGTTTTAGAGTTATGCCCATTTACAAATGAAAAAATTGCTGAATTTTTCGTTTCTGTTCTCTAACTTGAGTTTGTCTTAAATTAATGTAATGAAAGGTATATATAATGCTTTTTACCACAAAACTCAGTTTAATGTTTTGTTTCTGTTTTCTAACTTTAGTTTGCCTCAACCAAATGTTATGAAACTTATACACAATGCTTATTACTACATAATACAGATTAAGTACGAAATTTTGGGGCGACACTTTTACCATTCTTGAGTTATGTCCCTTTATAAACATAAAAATTGCTGAACTTTTCATTTCCGTTCTCTAACTTTAGTTTGTCTCAACCAAATGTTATAAAACTTATACACAACCGTTCAAGAGTTATGTGTATTTACAAATAGAAAAATTGCTGAATTTTTAGTTTCTGTTCTCTACTTAAGTTAGCCTCAACCAAATGTTATGAGACTTACACACAATGCTTATTACCACAAAACTCAGATCAAGTTCAAATTATGGTAGCGTCACTTTTACCGTTCTTCAGTTATGTCCCTTTATAACTATATGATATGCAAGTGGGGGCATCATCTGTGTCCACATGTGGACACTATCCACATTTATTTTGAAATGTTTTCAATTTTTTATGGGCATGTTCTTCCAACAGGCAAAAAGTAAGTAACATTGTTATCTGCATTATTGATTATGCCATCTTGCAATACCAGACCAGCTGTTTTTTTTGTTTCCTGTTGTTGGGTTATTGTTTCACTAACAAACTCCATTTTCTCTTTCAATCATAATCCCTCAAGCTCATGTTTAAGAGATAAAGACTTTTTTTTATTTAGTCCTTTTTTTACAAATTCAATTAATAATTGCCCTGGTTATAATAAAATATGTCTGATTTTAAAATTAAACATTTTTATTATAAAAAATTCATATATTTACAAAGTGATAACAATGACAATAAAAAAAGTACAGTAATAAATTATAAATTTCTTAAAACTGATAATGTCTATGATTGGAATGTCGATGATACTTGAGTTAGGCCAAGTCGTCTGAAAATAGAAAAAGTGATTTGTAAAATGATTAGTCAAAATTTAACTGAATAACATTTACATGATTAAGACAATGTTAAGTGAGTTACTGTGGATTCATTTATTTTCCTGGATACCGATTTTTGTGGATTGGTGAAAACTTATATTTTCGTGGATATTTGATTTCATGCATTTGCCAAATTCTGTTTACAAGCCTTTAGTAATTGTGTTCTTCGTTATATACCGGGTACCCATGAAATCCACGAAAAATGGTACCCAACGACTAATAATGAATCCACAGTATCTGATTTATCTACTCCCTACTTAACAGCTTTCTGGGTCTTCTATGAAAGAAATTCAGCCTGAATGTTAGGTAGAAAATGTTTAACATATAATGAACAGAAGTCTCTGCCTGCATATTGGTAAACTAAAGAGATTCTTTGCTGACAAATGCTTAAGTGGATGTTCGGGTAAAAATGACCAACTCTTCTGGCAAATTATCAAATAAAATAACATTTTATAAATTTGGTGCATTTTACGAACAAAACATTTTTCCATTATGACTAGTTACCTCTACTAGGTAGAGACAAGAGATGGTCTAAGAAATTGACTATTGCTGACACCCAGTTAGATTTTTATCTTCTTGATGTATACCCCACATCTCTTTTCTTTTTTTATTATTATGTAAAAGGTCATGCAGTTCACCAGCAGATCTCAATTTTTTTAGTATTTCTTTTTTTATGATATTTTAAAACAACACTGAGTTGTAAATCAAAAGAGGTTTTTTGAATATTGTTGTCTAGAATAAAACTGAGGAACTGAAATATACTCACGCTTCTCTTAAAAAAATATCAAATGTAATTTTTTCATCTTCAGTACCCTCTGGAACTTCTGGAAAGTCTTTTATACCTAATGTTGTTAAAGCTGGAATGGAAATTATAGAGTAAGCATTAATCATAAATGATTATATAGTACTATTATTTTTGCACAATGCAACTAAAAAGACGTAGTATAAAATATTTCCTGGTACAAATGTACATGTATTGCAATATCTTTATCATTTCAAAAGTACATTGCATTGTTTGGATATAAACTTTAAATTATAAACATGATACTCAAGGTTTCTTTTCTCTTTGTTATTCCCAGTACATGGTATTATTAACTCATATACCAGTACATTCACCAAATATCCCTACTTTACTTCTTTTCTCAAAATACTGTTTAAAATTTCTGATTTAAGGTGGCTCGGGTGTCTTCCCCATCTTGGATTTTAAAGAAGCAGATAATTTTGGTTTAGATATTTCATGAAATGTGCAAATTTTGAGAGTTGTAATTTATGTAAAAGACTTTTGATATAAATATAGAAAATTGTGTGTTTTATCATAATTACAGTTGTAATTTCTCAAAAACACCTTGTTTTTGTTTGATTAGATTTTTTTCAACTTTGCCAAATAAGGGGAGATAACTCAGATAAAGTAATTTTTATAATAGCAAGTGTTATGAATTTACCTTTTTTGATATGTAGCAAGAAAACAAGTTCGGTGACCCCATTTTTTCTTTTACTTATCTGAAAGCATGTTATAAGAGCAATCTTCTCACATTTTATCTTAAAGTTCTGATAGTACGTTTTCTTTTCATCAATGAAAACATTTTTTTTTTGAAATTAAAGGAAATCAGAAAGTTTTGAATTAACATAATCTGTGTTTTTTTTGTGTGCAATAATGATGAAGATTTTGGGGCTGAAATGAATGAATATGTATAAAACTGCCATCATTTGTGTTATATTCACATCTAAAAAAGTATAAGTATGGAAGTTTTTTATAAAAATAAGTACATTGTAATAAAAGGCTATATCTGTCCGTTACTACCCTAAGTACAGTTTGATCTGTAGTTTTAATGTGATGTTTACTAATACTTTTTGTTTTAATACCTTCCGTGTATTGCTGGAGTGTAATAAAGCCACGTCCTGTAGGATCCAACATTCCATAAATAGACTGTATATTTGTATCATCAAACAGACATGGAAAATCTAGTTTTGTAGCTCTGGATTTCTGTAACTTTTCTAAAATTTCAATCATATGTTTTTTGGGCTCATCTGTAAAAAATAAAGATTAAAAAAATCATGATTATCAACCGTAAAGGATAACTCTGTGATATGCACTCATACATTATGATTGACTTTAAACATTACTATATTCCATTTTATAAGTTATTTTTGTCAAAACCTTGCCGTGGCACATCAAGATACGTTACAAACAAAGTTGTAATAAGAAGCTGGAAAATCAGGAATTTTTCCGTCTTACAGTTACACTTACGTTCTAAATAGAGTTATCTCCCCTTTGTAGCCAAGCAATAAATGTATTAAAAGCAAAGTGATATATGGGACATGTAGTTGTTTTGACAATAACGTTGTGTAATCATGTATTGAAAAATAATCTAGACAGGAAATACTGAAATTCTAAGTAAAAAACTCTTCAGGAGGAAAAAGAAATATTAAGTGTTGAAATAATGCCACCAATATCTGAAAGAAACTCAGTATTGTCAAATACAATGCTGGCAGGTAATTGCCTTCATCTGTTGGGAATACCTTTAATTTAGCATTATGTTGAATGAAATGAATGTACAAAAATGTACTAACAGAAAAACAAAATTACCAATCATGGGGTGTACCTTAACATGTAAATCATTATTCAAAATAAAATAAAAATTATTTAAAGTAAGTGAGCAATCTTAATTTATTGTCAGGTTTTCATAAATACAATAAACATTGTCATGAGCTCTTCGTCTTCTACTTGTGGTCAACAAGGCTTCAATACCTAAGAAGACATGCTGTTGCGCATGCATAATTGACATATAAATTTATACAATTAATTTAAAAATAATTGAAGTGTTTGAATGTATACAGATTGTGATTAAAAATAATAAAATAATAACTTTTATGTACATGTTTTGGTTTGAGTGTGGTTATTTGAAATTGGAGAGAACAACTGTAGTTAGATCTGATCTCTGAAGCTGTCAACAGGATATAATGATAATCTAAGAGAGCAAAATCCTTTGTATGATTGTGTGAGGAAATTACAAAAATGTGTATGTGTCCCTGGAAGCTTGAATATGCCTGTATGTTTGTGTATGGTTTCGTCTAGTTCTGTCAACTTATATTTATTCCTGTTGGAACTAGCATTATATATCCTTTAATTATTCTGTAAGGAACAAATTCTGTAAAAAAATTTCAGAATATTTCTTCCATTTGGAACTTCTATTATGAAGGACAGTTATATTGTTGGTTTGTTCAAGAACATGCGTAATAAATTTTAATATATTTATAAAATAATATGAGTCTAGTTTTTAGTTGTCTCTCAGCTAGTGTCGGTTATTTTAGCTTATAGACCTTATCACTATTCTGGAATCTTGCGACACTTGAACTATTGACGTCATATAACAATCACTTTTCGTTTGTGGCGTCAGATATTTTCTATTGTTATGTCAAAATTTTACAGGAACCTTTATGAAGTGGAGTAATGGAAGACAATTAGTTATAAAGTGTATTTATCATGTAAGTGACACAGTTCATGTAATCATAATTCACCGTATAAACCACAACATTTAATCCTTTTGGGGATTTTGAGTCCAGAGCGAATCCCTTATCAACCGGGGCCTATTAAGTCTATTCAAGAAAATGTTTACCAACTACCTCTACTCGAACGGGTGCCTTTTATGCTTTCATCAACATCCAGACACCCGGAACAGATAAGATTTGAAAAGAATAGATATCAGCCTTTCAGAATCTGTTAAGATGTTTAAAATACAATGTACGTAACCTTTAAAGGTAGTTATAGATTCATTTTGTCACAATATTTATAAAAAAATCCGCCATTTTGTTATCATTTCAAGTTTTTCTCACAGGATTGGTACTGTAAAGCACAGAACTCTTCCGTCAGTTTTTCATCAAACTAATTTCCCGTAGCCGTTGACATTCACTATTTGGAAAATGGAATTTTTCCATTCCGATTTTTTGGTTTAGTTTTTCATATTCAATTTAGAGAAGTGTCTCAAAACCATATGGCTGTAATCATGAACGACAAAATTATATTTTTTACAAGATGGATCTATAACTATCATTTACAGTAAGGTGTTTTCAAAATTTCAACGGATTCTGAAAAGCTGATACCTCTTCTATTCAAATCTTATCTGCTCCGTGTGTATGGAATGGTTATGAAAGCATAAAAGGCACCGGTTTGAGGATAGGTAGTTGGTAAAAATTTTCCCACATAGACTTCATAGGGTTTGATAAGGGATTCTGAGGAGGCCAAATCAGAAAATTGCTCAGGTCTCAGAATCAGAATCCCAAATGGGATTACACAACGTTGTGATTGGTTTAAAACATCCTGAACAATAGAAATTCAACCAAAGATGTAATGTTTTTTTTTCATTTAGGTGTACGAAACAATGTGATTACACATAGTCCTTTAGATTCTGAAAAGGCGACTTGTTGTGCATGTATTGAGCCACACATTTTTACCTTATCACGTTTTAGAAGCTAGACTTTCATGTGGGATCCCAGACACTACAACTATACTCTAGTTTAGGTCTTACTAGTGCCTGTTATGCTGTGTATTTTATTTCATTGTTTGAGACTTTTAAATTTCGTTTGATAAAAAAGCAAGTGATTTTATTCCCATTTGATACGACTGATAAAATAACATAAATACGGATTTAGTCCGATAGTTTTTTTTTCCTGTACCTGGTCTATGAAAAATCAATTGTGATGTCAAATTATTGAACAATTCTACAATCTTATGATTGTTTAAGTATTCTTTTGCATCGGCATCTCTGCCTTGCCATGTATTTTCTGAACCCTCGGTAGACATCTTGATTTACGCTGTGTCGTCTTGGTAACAATCAGACAGCGGTAAATTAAAAATATTTTTTGGAATTAAAATAAATTTCTCCAATGGAAATCTCTCTATATATAATTCCAGTATAATTTGTTTGATAGTATTGTTTTTTTTTCATTGGAAATAAAAACATTTCTTACTTGGAGCAAATTCGCGCACCTGCTGTACTTCAAGATGGCTGCGCCCAGGTCAGCAAAACAAATGATTTAATCGTTCTAGATATATCTCAAGTAAAATGCAGTAAAAGCGATTATATTCCATAGATAAAAAAGACAACCGTATTAGGCTAGGAATTTCCCTTTTTAACAAGCGATTGAATCCAGTATGACTCAAATTCATAACTTTGCTGCAATATAGTGGTTGAAAGCTGACCTAGGCCTGGTGTAATCAGAAGAGATCATCAAATGATCACACGAACGGCAACTTAAACTAACAATGACGTATCCTATAGAACACAAAACTGTGTTTGTGCTTGATAGATCTCCTCATTTTGCCAAATCTTGCAAAGAAAGCATTGAATATGATGCACTGTCAAAAGTAAAGGCACCAGGTGTTATCCCAGCTGCTCCAATAACAAAGTCACTTTGGACATGCAATGTTGAAACAATGGTGGAGTATATGAGAATTGTATATGATATTTTTCCAGGCACACGACTGGTAATTACTTCTATGGTTGTATCTGCTAATATCTCGGTTAGATACAAAAAAATTAAATGATTCATATAAGATTCTCTACTTTATATATGAGGCACATGAGTGGTTCATAAAGGTTTAAGCTGTGTAAGGCAATATTTGAAAAAAAAAACCCTTTTTTGTGTATGGTAATAAGGCCACAGTATGACTAGTTTGTAGTGTTTTTTTTTAATGTTTCCTAAATAAATTTCTACAACATATTGCACCAAAGAAATCCTTATATGTACAAAGTACATTTGTAGCTTGTGAACCATCTTCATGTGTATGTATTCCACATACATGACATACACACATGTATTACTTTTCGAATTGTAAAATAACCTGTTAAGACCTTATGCATGTTATGCAAGAGATTATGGTCAGGAAATTGGACAGGATAATTATCTCCCATTGTTTTTCCCTAGTAGTTATCAACCTCGATGAAATAATGTAAAGTGAGGCAAAACATTCTTTTATGATTTTTATCAATGAAAATAAAAATCAAATTCACAAAATAAGAGTACACATCAGTTTTCTTTGTTAGCTTTTTTTTCAAACTGGTTTTTGAATTTGATTTCAATATTCATTGAAAAAAATTATAAAAATATATTGCCTAAATTAAGAATATTTTATTTCACAATTTACCTCTTTGTATTCAAAATGAAATTTATATCTAATTTGTTGTTCCATGTTAAAAAAAGTCTTGATTTGGACATCACGAAAAGGACAACCGGCACCACATAGAAGCATACATTAAAAATGAATAATTTGGCAAAATTTGAATTCAAACAAGCAGGTAATTGTAACCCCTGTTGACATTTGTCAATAACAGTTAAGTTTGATAAAAACAACCAATTGTAATTATATTCATATTTAATCATTGGACCCTCTTATCAACAGATGAATAAATGCATTAAAATAGACATTGTCATTAATTATACATGTAACCGAGAATATACAAAATATACAAAATGATGTTTAAATTTACTATTCATAAGATTTTTTCTCCTTTCAACAATTACAAGCAAAATGTACCAGATGATGCCATAGATTGTTAATGTTGTCTCACATGTCTCAGCAACAGTTTTATGGGATCTTCAGTAATCTCATTAGGGAATGCTGGGAGCGGGATTACACCCATAAAATTAAAGTAATAAAATAATAAATTTTTTTTCACTAAGTAAATGATATTAGTTTGAACTGGTGCAATGCCATTACAAAAATCGTATACAATAATCAATGAATTACGAAACGCCAATATCTTCATGATGGAGGCCTGAAAAATAAAATAACAAAAGGTGTATCTACTGTAATGTTTGCAAGAAGAAATTCAGTCTTCTCTCTTTGTTTCAGATACTGTTTTTATACGACCGCAAACAAATTTTGTGGTCGTATATTGGTATGACGTTGGCGTCGTCGTCGTCGTCGTCGTCGTCGTCGTCCGGCGTCGTCGTCCGAATACACATTGGTTTTCGCACTCTAACTTTAGTTTAAGTGAATGGATCTTTTTGAAATTTGACCATAAGGTTAAATATCACAAAAGGAAGGTTGGGATTGATTTTGGGGGTTATGGTACCAACAGTTTTAAAGGAATTAGGGGCCAAAAAGGGGCCAAAAATAAGCATTTTCTAGTTTCCAGACAATAACTGTGCAAAGGTGTATGGATCTCTCTGAAATTATACTACAAGTTTCCATACCACAAAGGGATGGTTAGGATTTGCTTTGGGGGGTTATGGCTCAAACCGTTTAGGAATTAGGGGCAAAAAAGGGGGAAAAACAAGGTTGTCCTGGTTAATGGACAAATACTTTAGTACAAAACATAATTTAAAGCAGTGTAAGGGAGATAAATCAAATACATCATTGAAATTATCTCCCTTACACTGCTTTTAAATTATGTATAAAGTAATGGTTAATGAACAATAAAGATAATTTAAAACAGTGTAAGGGAGGTAATCCAAATACAATGTTTTGGTTACTTCCCTTACACTGCTTTTAAATTATGTTTAAAGAAATGCATATTTATAAAGGAAGACCAGTAAAAATATCTGCAAATGTTGCATCTTTTTTTTTTACAAAAAAATCCATATGAAAGATTTGACACTATATTTTTAATTCTATTATAAAATAGATTAAGTTAGCACTATGGTAAATTTAAATATGTAATTATGGTTGCCAACTCCATTGGAAATTTGAATTGAGATTATGACCATATCTTGAGGGAAAGAATTTTTTGGGGGAAAAAAGGTGGGGGGGGGGATAAAAAGAAATTGTGGGGGGTCAATTTTTTCTCATTTCAGATTTCAGAAATTAAAAAGAATTATTCTTCAAATATTATTTTTTTTTCAAATTTCAAATATTGAAAAATTTCAAGAAGTAATCTTTAATTGCACAGTATGGCGCATTAGATTTTTAAAATCTTTGATCACATTTATTTATTTGTTATGCCGAATCTAACAGTGTATTTAGATTTTTAATTTTGGGTCCAGTTTTCAAATTGGTCTACATTAAGGTCCAAAGGGTCCAAAATTAAACTTTGTTTGATTTCAGCAAAAATTGAATATATGAGGTTATTTGATATGCTGAATCTAAACATGTATTTAGATTTTTGATTTTTGGCCCAGTTTTCAAGTTGGTCCAAATTGGGGTCCAAAATTAAACTTTGTTTGATTTCAACAAAAATTGAATATATGGGGTTCTTTGATATGCTGAATCTAACCATGTATTTAGATTTTTTATTTGTGGACCCCGTTATCAAATTGGTTTGTATTGAGGTCAAAAGGGTCCAAAATTAAACTTTGTTTGATTTCATCTAAAATTGAATTATTGGGGTTCTTTGATATTCCAAATCTAACCGTGTATTTAGATTTTTAATTTTGGGTCCTGTTTTTTAATTTGGTCTACATTAAGGTCCAAAGGGTCCAAATTAAACTTAGTTTGATTTTAACAAAAATTGAATTCTTGGGGTTCTTTGATATGCTGAATCTAAACATGTGTTTAGATTTTTGATTATGGGCCCAGTTTTCAAGTTGGTCCAAGAAAGGGGCCAATATTTAAACTTTGTTTGATTTCAACAAAAATTGAATATATGGGGTTCTTTGATATGCTGAATCTAAACATGTATTTAGATTTTTTATTATGGGCCCAGTTTTCAAGTTGGTCCAAATTGGGGTCCAAAATTTAACTTTGTTTGATTTCAACAAAAATTGAATATATGAGGTTCTTTGATATGCTGAATCTAACCATGTATTTAGATTTTTTATTTGTGGGCCCCGCTATCAAATTGGTTCATATTGAGGTCAAAAGGGTCCAAAATTAAACTTTGTTTGATTTCATCAAAAATTGAATTATTGGGGTTCTTTGATATTCCAAATCTAACCGTGTATTTAGATTTTTAATTTTAAGTCCCGTTTTTTAAATTGGTCTACATTAAGGTCCAAAGGGTCCAAAATTAAACTTAGTTTGATTTTAGCAAAAATTGAATTCTTGGGGTTCTTTGATATGCTGAATCTAAACATGTGTTTAGATTTTTGATTATGGGCCCAGTTTTCAAGTTTGTCCAAGTTGGGGTCCAAAATTAAACTTTTTTTGATTTCAACAAAAATTGAATATATGGGGTTCTTTGATATGCTGAATCTAACCATGAATTTAGATTTTTTATTTGTGGGCCCCGCTATCAAATTGGTTCATATTGAGGTCAAAAGGGTCCAAAATTAAACTATGTTTGATTTCATCAAAAATTGAATTATTGGAGTTCTTTGATATTCCAAATCTAACCGTGAATTTAGATTTTTAATTTTAAGTCCAGTTTTTTAAATTGGTCTACATTAAGGTCCAAAGGGTCCAAAATTAAACTTTGTTTGAATTTAGCAAAAATTGAATTCTTGGGGTTCTTTGATATGCTGAATCTAAACATGTGTTTAGATTTTTGATTATGGGCCCAGTTTTCAAGTTTGTCCAAGTTGGGGTCCAAAATTAAACTTTGTTTGATTTCAACAAAAATTGAATATATGGGGTTCTTTGATATGCTGAATCTAACCATGTATTTTGATTTTGGACATTGGACCATAATAGGTAAATTAAAAAAATTCAAGTTCTTAGACCACATTCTTTCTGTGTCAGAAACCTATGCTGTGTCAAATATTTAATAACAATCCAAATTCAGAGCTGTATCAAGCTTGAATGTTGTGTCCATACTTGCCCCAACTGTTCAGGGTTCGACCTCTGCGGTCGTATCAAGCTGCGCCCCAGCGAAGCATTTTATTATATTATTTAAGTATTATTTAATTGATATATTGATTATTTCTAAATGAAATCGAA